AAAAAAAAAAATGAACGGGGAGACACACCCTAAGGTGGACGCATGAGGATGGCATAAAGCCATTGGTCAGCTCCCTAACCTCACCGACCTCTCTCCCACAAACTCCTTGCTTGTTCCCCTCTTTTCTCCCTGCTGTTCCTGCAAAATGACAGTCACTCTGTTCTCTGCCTGGAAGACTCTTCCTCCAAACATCCTCATGGGCCAGCTCTGTCTCCCCTTGTAAGCATTAGCTCAAAATCCACCTTTTAAATGGGTCCTACCCTGCACCCCTATTTAAAATTGCAACCCAGTCGGGCGCAGTGGGATTACATGCCTGTAATCCCAGCACTTTGGGAGGCCAAGGTGGGAGGACTGCTTGAGCCCATGAGTTCGAGACTAGCTTGGGCAAAAGACAGACAGCCCGTCTCTACAATTTAAAAAGTAAATAAATAACATAATATTGCAACCCAACCCCTCATCTTTCTGTATCTTTTTCTTGCTTTATTTTTGCACTGTTTTTTATTTTCTTTTTCTTTTCTTTTCTTTTCTTTTTTTTTTTTTTTTTAAGACAAGGCCTCCTTTTGCTTTCCAGGCTGGAATATAGTGTCGGGATCATAGCTCACTACAGCATCAAACTCCTGGGCTCAGGCCATCCTTTTGCTTTGGCCTCCCAAGTAGCTGGGTCTACAGGTGCATACAACCATGCCCAGCTAAATTTTAATTTTTTGTAGAGATGGAGTCTTGCTATGTAGCTCAGGCTGATCTCAAACTCCTGGCCTCATGAGATCCTCCCGCCTCGCCTCCCAGAGTTCTGGGATTACAGGTATGAGCTGCCACACCCGGCCTGCATTCTAACTTACTATATTCTGTACTTACTATATTTGTTGTCTGAGTCCCTTCCCAGCAGCATATCCTCCCTCAATGTAAGCATCATTAATTACAGCTGGGCTCTTTGCCTATTTTGTCTATTGATGGATTACAAGCACCTAGAACAGTGCCTGGCACTTAGCAGATACTCAATAGTACATATTAAATGAATGACTAACAGTTACATAGAGGAAAGCGAGTCTGAGGATTCACATACCCAATGCACAGAGAATTTTGTGCCTGCAACACACAATGATTCACAGACTATGGTGCCCATAAACATGATGCACACCCCCAGAGCTCCTAAGCCCCTCAGCCCTCTTTTAACCAGGAACTCCCCTCATCACCATCACCCCAAGCAGGAATAAGAAGCCGTAGTAGCTATCCTGGCCCTCAGAATGGCAGACGAGGCTGCCTTGGCCTATCTCCTTCATGCCCTTAGTGGGCCTGAGGAGGGGCCCTTGGTGCCAGGCCCCATCCCCAAGCTCCTAGAGAATACAGCTGATGCGGGCCCAGACTTGGCCACCAGACATTACCATGGTGCTGGGCAGGTGCAGAGGAGCTCAGCAGAGCGTCACTGGCCCGGACCTGAGGCCCTTTATATTCCTAAGCATCCATGCCCCCTTTTCCTCTGAGGCTCCACTCCCAGCATAGTCTTCTTTTCCTCCCTGTGTCATGACCTGAAAGTCCAGAACAGAGAGAAGGTGGGGGTGGAAGCACATGGGCTACCAGCTGTTCTGACCAGGTCACAGTCCCTGCCGGGGGCCCAGAAGTGTGGGTGGCAGAGGCAGGGAGGCCTGGGGTGTCAGGTAACTTTTTGCTCTGGGGTTGAGAGGGGACTGTGCTTTTCCCAGGGGTTACTGTCAGAGTTTGGAAGGGGGTTATGCTGAGACCAGATACCCCTCCCCATCTGGCTAGATCCAAGGTACCTTTGCCTCCTTCCCCTGCAGGGCTGCTTTGGGGTCCCAGCATCCCTATTCCCTGCCCCTAGGCCTGCTGCCATGGGGAGGGGGTGGAGTTGCAGTTTCTGGTTTCAGGATTGCAGGCCCCGCTGCACAGCCTGGAGATTTTCTCAGCCTGCCTGACCATTTTGGAGCCCCTGAGGCATGACCTGCTGAGCCTTCTGGAGGGCGGGTGGGTCTTGGCTGCTTGGATAATGGGCTTAGGCCTTGGCTGCCTCAGGCCACAGAGCCTCAGCTGTGTGGCCTGTCAGGAACCCTCTACCTCCTCAATATTGCTGCTTTTCTGGGGCAAGTTGTAAAATGTGTGCCAATTCTTCGTGCCTACCCCAACCCCAGAAGGGGCACAGTAGGAAGAGCAGGGACTTCTGGATGAGAATCCTGACTTCACTCCCTCCTGACTGTGTGACCTTGATTAGGGGACATTATCTCCCCTGAGCCTCCACATCCTCATCTGTGAAATGGAGCTGGTTGCATCCTGGCATAGGACTGTTGTGAAGATGGAGTTGGGTGATATAGCTTAGCCTCTGGGCAGCTCCCGGCACATGCTAGGTGATTAACAGGCATGAGCCGCTCCACTCATAGAAGAACCCCCTCCAACCTTTTTTTTTTGGAGATGGAGTCTCACCCTATCGCCCAGACTGGAGTGCAATAGTGCGATCTCGGCTCACTGCAGCCCCTGCCACGCAGGTTCAAGCGATTCTCCTGCCTCAGCCTCCTGAGTAGCTGGGATTACAGGTGCCTGCCACCGTGCCCTACTAATTTTTGTATTTTTAGTAGAGATGGGATTTCACCATCTTGGCCAGGCTGGTCTTGAACTCCTGACCTCGTGATCCACCCACCTCGGCCTCCCAAAGTGCTGGGATTACAGGTGTGAGCCACCATACCTGGCCCTAAAAGAACCCCTTCCTCCCATCTCTACTTGTCCCAAAAGTGTCTCATCTTCTGGCCTCTTCTTATTAAAACTTGCCCTTGGCCAGGCATGGTGGCTCATGCCTGTAATTCCAGCACTTTGGGAGGCTGAGGTGGGAGGATCACTTGAACCCAAAAGTTTGAGTATGCCTGTGGTCCCAGGTATTGGGGAGGCTGAGGTGGGAGGATTGCTTGATCCTGGGAAATTTAGGCTGCAGTGAGCCAGGATCGTGCCACTGCACTCCAGCCTGGGTGACAGAGCAAGACCCTGTCTGAAAACAACAGCAAACAAATATACAAACCAACCCTGCTCTGAGTGGGGGTGAGAAATTCAATGTCAATGTCACTGAAGTTTATGGGATGACTCAGTAGCCAAGTGAGACCAGGACCGCATTTCTATGGAGGCAAGAATCTCTAGAAAAAGAAATGAGAGTCCCGTGATAAATTTCCATAGTACAGGTGGGAGGAGATATCTGGGGATCAGAGTACCCTAAATACCAGCACACAGGCTATTCCTTATCCCCATTAGTCACAGCCCAGTGCTGAAGAGCTCAAGAGCTCCCCTCCCCCAAGAGCTCAAACCATGTGTCCCTTGCAGCCTTGGCTGCCCATACAAACCCAGACTCTTCTGCAGGCACTGGAGGCTCTCAGGCCCTAGCTCTTCCAGACTCCCTTACTCATCCCAGGAACTGTAGAGGGATACGGGGAGGGAGGAAAGGGGGAAGAGAGGAAAGGAAGCAGCTCAGAGGCTGCCTGCTGCTCTCTGAGGGCAGGAGGTGGCAGCCCTGCAATGGGCAGGATGAGTGAATGTGGCTTGAGGACACAGCTCCGGGTGGGTCTCCCTGTCAACTGCCTCTTAAACTCTGACTGCAAGTTCCCACTTAAATGGAACTTCCAAATTCACTGTGGAGTATGTGCCCAAATTCCCAGAGTGCAGCAGGCCAGGGGCTATGGCCTCCACTTTTCAGAGAAGAACACTGATGCAAAGAGAAGCTACTCAGACACCTGGTGCCGGCACAGCTGGGGCTAAACTCGCCATTTTGACTCCAAGTCAGTGTGTGACCATTTGGACTAGCCTATTTCTGAGGCCCCTGAGATAAGCCCCGTGGGCTTCCTGTGAGGCATGATGGTTCTCAAATATCATTCTCTGCTACCCACTGTGGAATAGACCCAATGACAGAGTGACCTTGAGTCTCCTGGCTGACTTGCCCCAGACTGACCATCCCACCCACTCCAGGACCACTGCTCTCCTCTCTGCTGGGTGTGGCCCAAAGCTGCCGGCTCACTACTTCCTACC